GTGTGGGCGGAGGTGAGTGTGGGTGGAGGTGAGTGTGGGTGGAGGTGAGTGTGGGTGGAGGTGAGTGTGGGTGGAGGTGAGTGTGGGCGGAGGTGAGTGTGGGTGGAGGTGAATGTGGGCGGAGGTGAATGTGGGCGGAGGTGAGTGCTGGTTCCTTGTGAGTGTGATTGCCCTCTACATTAACTCCCCCTTCATCTACCCCCTCTCCTCCCTGCTCTCTCCCCTCCGCCCCCCTCCTCTCCCCCTGCTCTCCCCTCTTCTTCCCCCCTTCCTCTTCGGTTTGCCACCCCTCCTCCGTGCCTTGTGCCTCCTCATGACAGGCGAGCCGGGCGTGGGTGGAGTGGGTGCAGCGCAAGAAGCGGGCGTTTGACCAGCGGGGCGATATGGCCATGTCCGCATGGGCGGAGCAGCAGCAGCGCGAGCTCAACCTGCGTGCCCGACAGCTCTCCAAGGAAAAGGTGCCACTGCCACTGCCACTGCCACTGCCACTTGCCACTGGCTGGCATGCGGCAACTCATGCATTGCACTGCAACCGTATGCAATGCACTCAGTACCTTCTTTTTCCTTGGGTCCAGGTTGAGGTGCAATCTCCGGGGCTCCTCTGTGGCAAAACGAGTGCTGTTACCTGCTCCTCTCCTCGCCCATCCACGCCACTTTATACTCCTCTATTCTCCTCATTCAAATCCTCAAACCCCACCCCCCCATATCCTCACTCACTCCCTTCTGTCCTCTCCCTCCCCACCCCGCCCACACCCTCATTCTCTCATTCTGCTCCACCCTGTTTGATCCGGACGAGGGGAGAATCCACTCCCTACCCACCCACGCTCCCCTCGCCATTTCACTCATCACCCACCATTCAAATGCAGACGAGCAGAGGATCCTGGTGCGGGAGCGAGCAGCAGGGCGGCCATGGGGAATGGCAGACATGGTTGTCATGCGCCACTCTCCCTCACTCCCTTTCTCCCTCCTACTCCCTTTCTCCCTCCCACTCCCTTTCTCCCTCCCACTCCCCACCCCACCCCACCCCACCCACACCCACTACACTCATGCCACCCAGTCGGACCCGGACGAGCGCAGGATCCTAGCGAGAGAGCGGGCAGCGGCCATGGAGACAACCGAAAAGGTCGTGCGGCGCCACTCGCTGGTGCTCAAGAAGCGCGACATAGAGCGGCAGCGCGCCGAAGAAGCCGCCAAGAAGCGACTGGTGGCAGAACTGCTGGCGTTGGAGGGGTTCGAGGTGGAGGAGGAGGAAGGGGGGGCGAGAGAAGGGCGGGGGCAGCTCCCTTGGGGAAGTTAAGTTAGATGCATTTTGTTCTGATTCAGAAGACACACCTGGACTGGTGGCGGGCGGACCTGCTGGCGCTAGAGGGGTTCGAAGTGGAGGAGGAGAGGGAGGCGAGAGAGGGGAGGGGGCAGCTGCCTTGGGGAGGTTGGATGTTCGTGGGATGGGCTTGAGGCGCCTCAAAACTAGACTCTTATCACGCTAGACGTTTGTGGGATGGGGGGAAGGCACAAGATCCTTTTTGAGGCGCCTCAGAAGAGACCTTGGGGAGGTTAGGTGTTCGTGGGGGGGGGGGTGGTCGGTGCAAAATACACGTGGACTGGTGGCTGGCGGATCTGCTGGCGGTGGTGGAGGGGTTTAAGGTGGAGGAGGAAGGGGAGGCGAGATGGAGTTGGGGGGCTAGGGGGAGGGAAGGGAGGGGGAAGGTGCCTTGGGGAAGTTAGTTAGATGAAGTATTTTGAGGCGGTATATACACTTGCAGGGTGGGCCTGCTCGCCCGCAGCAGAGGGGTTTGAGGCCGAGGAAGGGGAGTAGGGGGATGCAGGAAGGGCATGGAGGAGGCAGTTGGGGCGGGTTACAAAGCAGGTGAACAGAGAAGGCTGAGGTTAGGAGCTGAAGGGTGACCTAGGATACCGTAGTTGGGAAGATGGGTAACGAGGGCCTCTTGTCTTGTGGCCTCATTCTGTAGGTTATGAAATGTATGTAACAAGGGTTAGACCTTCAGTCCATTAGATGTGTAGGATTTAGAATGAAGCTGAACTGTACATTCACTGCAACAAGGGTCAAACAAATGCCACTACAGTGCGACGATTGCCTGAATCGGGTCACAGCAATACCGAGAACGCCGCCACCATCCAGAATGCCAGCCCCCGACATGCCCGTAGCCCACTTATCTTCCGCCCCTTCTGCCTCCCGTGCTCCTGGTTTTGACTCGCCCTTTTTCAGACCCGCGTTTCGCGCGCCACAGGGGGACACGTGGCTTTAACTCTCCGCAATCGTCCGCCCCGCTAATCCGCGCCAACCTTCTCCCCGCAATAACTCTCCGCCATGTCCGCGCCCCCCCCACCCGGCGTGCGCGTGCTTCCCGTGGACGTGTGGAGCGACATCGCGTGCCCCTGGTGCTACGTCGGTAAAGTGCGTTGCGTAGCGCCGGTCCCTCGAAGCGCAAGCAACACCACGCAGCGCCTTGGCGGCATTTGCGTCGGCTCAAAAGCTTGACGGCACACCGTGTCTCACCGTGTCTCGCCGTGTCTCACCGTGTCTCACAGCCCCTGCGAGCTTCACTGCCAGTGGAGCTTCCCCTCCTTCCCCTCCTTCCCTTCCCTCATCAGCCCTCCTCTTTCTATTTTTCCCATTCCTCCCATCCTCCGCCCCATCTCCCCCCCATCTTCCCCGGCTTTCTCTCCGAATCTCTCCCCCCGCCCCCTGGCCTCTCTCTCGCGCGCGCGGCAGGCGCGGCTGGACGCGGCGATAGCGGCGGTGGAGGCATCCCCGGTGAACGGGCAGGCGGTGGCGGTGCAGGTCACGTGGTGAGGGGGGGAGGGGGGCGTTTGGGGGGGGGAGGCGGGGGTGGGGAGAGTGGGGGGCAGGAGTGGGGAATGGAAGGGGGGCAGGCAATGCAGGCAATGCAGGTAATGCAGGCAATGCAGGTAATGCAGGCAATGCAGGTAATGCAGGCAATGCAGGTAATGCAGGCAATGCAGGTAATGTATGCCCGCCTGCACACTCTGCCTTTCCCCCTAACGCCCCCCTCATGCCCCCCTTGTATCCTCGCTTTTGCCCCTACCCATCCCTCCTTCATGGTGGCTTGCGTACCCTGTGTGCCCCATGTCCCGCATGCACCCCATGCCCCCCATGCACCCCATGTCCCCCATGCACCCCATGTCCCCCATGCCCCCCATGTCCGCCATGCACCCCATGTCCCGCATGCCCCCCATGCCCCCCATCCCTCCCATGCTCCTAGGCATGCGTACATGATAGACATGCGCACCAAGCGGCAGGGGGAGCCATACCTGGCGTACAACCAGAGGCGGTGGGGAGGCGATGGGTGGACCACCTCCCTCAGACGGTGAGAGCACATCTGGACCACCGCCTCACCGCCTCACCGCCTCACCGCCTCACCGCCTCACCGCCTCACCGCCTCACCGCCTCACCGCCTCACCGCCTCACCGCCTCACCGCCTCACCGCCTCACCGCCTCACCGCCTCACCGCCTCACCGCCTCACCGCCTCACCGCCTCACCGCCTCACCGCCTCACCGCCTCACCGCCTCACCGCCTCACCGCCTCACCGCCTCACCGCCTCACCGCCTCACCGCCTCACCGCCTCACCGCCTCACCGCCTCACCGCCTCACCGCCTCACCGCCTCACCGCCTCACCGCCTCACCGCCTCACCGCCTCACCGCCTCACCGCCTCACCGCCTCACCGCCTCACCGCCTCACCGCCTCACCGCCTCACCGCCTCACCGCCTCTTCGCTCTTCCATCAAACACCTCTTCTAAACCAACCTCTCTTCGCTTTTCGTCCCCAATAGACCACGGAAGCATTGGACCTCTGGACCACTGCACCACTTTTGGACTGCTGGACCACTGGACCGCCACTGGACCACTGGACCGCCACTGGACCATTGGACCATTGGACCACTGGGCCACTGGACCACTGGACCACTAGACCATCACTGCGCCTTGCAAGCTCCCTTCTCCTCGTCTTCCTCTCTGTGCCCCTCTCTCCTCTATTTGTAAACCTCACTAACCTGTTCTCAGTACCCCTCTCCATCTTCATCGCCATCCCCATCCCTCCCCCCACACCCTCTTCCCTCGCCCCTCTCAATGCATCTGCCTGGCAGGTCAGGCGCTCGAAGCGGGCTCAAGTTTGCGGACTGGCAGTGGTGGCCCAACACACTGCACGCGCACAGGTGCCACACTCACACTCACACACGCACACACTCACACTCTCTCTCACACACACACACACGCACGCACGCACGCACACACTCACACACACACACACGCACACACAGGCACGCACACACACGCACACACACACACACCCACGCACACCAACGCACGCACACGCACGCACGCGCGCGTGCACGCGCACGTGCACGTGCACACACACACACACACACACCAGCGTTTCACGGACGAGAGCTAAATGCTCATCTGTGTGGGATGGACGTTTTGCCCCCACAGCAGCCCACCTGCCTAATGTGCCACACTACACGAATGGCTGCTTTTGGCTTTGTTTGTTACCCTGACTTGGTTTCTTCTGCTCGCCTGATGCGTCGGTGGATGCTGTGGAGGGTATGTTAGTTAATCATGACAAAGGATGGCATTTTGGGGCGATTCTTGATGTGGTATGGCATGGAATGCATGGTACGTCATGGTTGACGACATGGCATGACATGTGCATGTGCATGTGCATTTGCATGGCATGGCATGGCGCGTGTGGAGGTGGCAGGCTGGTGCACGCAGCGACGAAGCATGGCAAGGGCAGTGAGGCGAAGCAGCGGCTGTTTGAGATGACGTACGAGGAGGGCCGCAACGTGTCAGATGCGAGGGAGCTCGCTGCTGCGGCCACTGCTCTCGGTCTCACCCACATTGACTCTGCTGCCTACTTCGTATGCGCTGCTGGTCCCTACGCCATGCTCTGCCATGTTCGACCACGCTCAACCGAGCTCGACCGAGCTTGACTGTGCTTCACTGTGCTTGACCGTGCTCGACCGCGCTTGACTGTGCCTGACCATGGACGAATGTACGGACGCTCCGATATGGAAGAGCATCTGAGAGCATCCCCTCCCGACCTCTGGGACGTGGGCACTCCTTAATGGCACTGAAGCTAGCATTGTTCTTGAAGTGCGCATACACGCATGCATTCCCTCTCTCTACATGTGTGTGCATGTGTGCATGTGTGCATGTGCCTGTGTGTGTGTGCTCTCAAGCGCTCCCAAGCAGGAGTCTGAGGAGGGGCAGCAGGAGGTGTTGGAGGACGATGCCTATGGGAAGAAGGAGCTCAACATCACCGGGGTTCCCTTCTTTATTGTCAACAAAAAGTACAGCATAGCAGGCTGCCAGGTACTGCTATTCCTACCAAACTATGTCCCAGGTTGATTTTACCACACAAGGGAGCTTGAATTGGCAGCTTCTCGGCTCTTGTTGTTACTTGAGTCGGCTGTTTCTTATGTTGTCTCGTCTGATCTTCATGTAATTTTATTTACTTATCATGCTGGGCTGCTGTGCTGGTGCAGGAAACTGCTGCATTTAAGCAGGTATTTGAGAAGGCCCTTGCTAACTGACGTGTGTGTGGTCTAGTTGGGTCAAGGGATGGGTGGCTGAGCAACTGCTGGAGAAGCCGGAGTTTGTGCTCGAAACCGCCAGTCAGTTTTGTCTATGGTATGGAAATGAATAAATCACAAGCACGAAAAGTTGAGAAACAAGAACAATTTTATTGAATGAGCATGTTACCCCTTTCTTATTATGATCTCAAGTTATGCTTCTTCAACGACACTAACAGAAGTACCCACTATTGATCTGTATGTCTTTTCGCTCGTGCCATTGCGTTATAGTCATGATTTTGGAAATCCCTCGGGAAGCAACTGGCTGTCTGCTTCGATCCTTCGTGAGGGTTTCTCAACACAGTTCGCGCGACTGGCTGTTGCACCCCGCTCGACGACTGTGTCAGCGAGTTCTGCGACGACGTTCAGGTGCCAGCAGTCGCAGCATCGCAGTGTCAGGTGAACGACGAATCAAACAGCCGCCAGCTTGGGTGGAGTTTGGGGCGATGCCGCCAAAAGGAAGCCTACCCGAGCCTAGGGGAAGAGAGCTGCTTGACTTGGGTTTTTGGCTGGTTTGGGTTTGGAAGTCCGATGAAGGGAAATCGCCACCGCTGGCCGAAGTCTGTTTCGTTTCGATTTTCCCCTCTCCAGTTGACCTGCCCTCCGACCAAACGAGATCGACAGTGGGCGCAGAATTGCGCGCGATATCCATCCCCGCCAGACTGCCCTCCAAATTCGTTTCGCGCCTCTGTCATTTTGCAGACCCCTAAGGCCGCGCAGACGCAAAAAAGTTTCCCCTGGAATTTACCATCCCATCAGGTCAATGTCCAGTGCAGCATTCACACACCATGCTGACACTTCGCCGCCTGCCCAGTCTGCAGTCACCGTCATCCATCCATTCATACCTCCCTCCACCTCGCTGCCAGTGACACGACTTCCCTCCCTTTCATTCCCCCCTTCAATTCTCCACCAGCCCCACCGGACCGGAATAACCTGCCCCCCCCCTCCCCCCAAGACTCCCCCCCCTTCCCCCCACCCCCTCCCTCTCTCTCCCTCCCCACCCCACCTCCGGCGAGCACCAACCACCCAGGCTACAGTGTTCAGCCCTGCCACGCGAATGTTCCCATTTCCCAAGGCGACGAGCATGCGACTCGCAGAGGTTGCGAATGTCGCGTGGTATGGGTTGCGACGCGGACGATGTATCGAGCCGCGCGCATCTGCGCCTGCTCTGATTGGCTCGCTGACAGGCGCAAGTCACCTTCGGCATGTGCAGGCGCAGGTGTGCCAACATTGCTTCGCGTGAGGCGACCAACCTTTCTGATCCCACAGCCTGCACCATTCACTGGCACGCCACGCCACAGCACGGCCCGGCAAGGCGCACAGAATTCACTCACCCCATCCTCCATCCCCATTCCCAAACCCATCCCATCCCTTTCTAGGCGCCCACCGACACCTGTACACACACCATCCCTGAATTCGTACAAACTCGAATTTGGCTCGACTCATTGCCATAACTTTCAAGGCCGAGCTTCAGAGCCGTGCGCCACACTTGTTCCTCTTCAAGCAAACAAAAACCCCTACGTTCTTTTCGCGACTGAAGGCTGCGCATAGACTACGACTTATATTCTCTCGCTACGCGAGCCGTCTAGGGAAGCGTGCGTTCGATACAGCTTATACGGTAACCCCGTCCACCGTAGACCAGGTCTCGGATCCATCACACGCCATGGCTGACCAGTTCCAAGCGGAAAATGAGCCGGCGACGGCCGGATTCGTCGCCGAGTGGGTCGCAAAGCTGTGTCTGTGCGACGCTTCACTTGGCGACGGCCAATGCGGCGGATCTGACGACGATCTCGCTCTCGCGTCTCCCCTCCGCAACAGAACAATCAGCACTCTCCATTCGGCAGAGCGCAGGAGCAACACTAGCAGCAGCAAAAGTGGCAGCAGCAGCGTGACTGCTGCAGACCAGAGAACCTCCTCCTCCTCCTCCGCCGGCGCCGCCGGCGCCGTCGGCGCTGCTGTTGCTGCTATCGCTTCCGCTGACAGTAGCGCAAACCTCGGCCCACTCACACCGCGCCGACTCCGCGTCGCCGTCCAGCCACGTGGCAGCCCCGCCGCCGTGCCGCTGTTCCTGCCCAATGACTTCGGAGGCGACGCGGTATGGGGGCAGTCACCGGGCTTCGGAAAAGCAGCTCGAGCCGCCGCGATCCCCGCTGCGAGCCCGCCGCGCCACCGCGGTTCCTGGACGGATGGCGCGAGCTGCTGCAAGACGAAGCGCCGAACCGCGCTCGGGAGGGACGACGACGGAGTGGCGGGAGTGCGGCGCGCATTGGGGTGGGATAATGACGAGGAGACTAAGAGCAACAGCAGCAACAGCAGCAGCAGCAACAGCAGCAGCAGCCTGGGAGCGGAAGGAGAGTCGAGCGATGGCGATAGCTTCGCCACTCGCTGCGATCTCTTGTCGAGTTCGGACGAATCCGATCTTCTTCTCCTTCGCGACCCGTTCTCTGGTCTGAGCCGGCAAAGCTCATTCGTTCGCGACAGCATTCCGCAATCCCCGCCTCGATTCTCGCCTCCGGATGCGGGATCGCCGCGGTCGTGCGCGTCGGGATCCGTGTCGCCCATGTCCGTGCTACCCGCGCCGCTGGTGCTGAATCTGTCCGCATCGCTCGTCGAGATGGCGGGGGGAGTGGGGAGAGACGAGGACGCGCTAATCATGCTGCCCATCGCGTGGGACGAAGCGGAAGCGGAAGCGGAGGTGGAGGCGGAGGCGGAAGCGGATGCGGATGCGGATGCTATATCCGCTACAGCAGCGGAGGCGGCGGCGGTTTCTGCACCCTGTCCTCGCTCCGCATTTGCTTCCCCCCCGCCTCGCGCATCCGCGTCCCCGCCAATCCCGCGCCATGCGCCTCTTCCGCCTGCCTGGAGCCATGCCGCCACGCCCTCTCCCCCCGCGCGCTGCAACCCCCGCGCCCGCAACAGCCCCCCGCAGTTTCCCAGGAACCACGGGCAGACCCATCCAATGGGAGAGGCTGGCGCAAATTCCCGCAGCCCTGTGTCCTCGGCCAACGCGCGGAACCACCAGCGCTCCAGCGCGCACAACCTCCCCCGACCCGCTCCCCACCACCAGCCCACCCCGCTCCCCGATCGTTCCGCTCCCCACCATCCGCACCAGCAGCCGCACCCTTTCCGCGCATGGCCCGCGTCTAGCTCTGCCCTCCCGCCCATTGGCGCATGCGCGCGCAACAACTTCCGCCACCCCCTCATGCCCGCCCCGATGCACGTTCCCGTTCACATGGGCATGGCGATGGGTATGATGGCTGTGCATATGCCCGGTCCCAATCACCCACCCATGCCCATGCATCACCCCATGCACATGCAGATGCCCATGCATATGCCGGTACCCATGGCCATGCCAATGCCCATGGGTATGCACCCTCTAGCCCTATCCTCCGTTCCCGTGCACCTGCCCCCGCATCTCGCCTTCCCCTGCCGCCCTTTCCCCGGGGCCAATCTCGCGGGAATGCCTGGCACTGGCGGAGGGGCTCCGCAGAACGGCGGGAAGGCGGAAAAGGCTGCTGGCGGAGGGGGGGATGCGGGGGGCGCTGCCTCTGCAGTGGCGGCGGAAGGGTCGTCGGGCACGGGGGTGTTTCTCCCGCGCACTGGTGCTGCGGATTCGTGTGGTGTGACATTTGGGGGGGAAGTAGCGGGGTGGGCTTGATTCGGAGCTGGAGTTGTGGAAAGGTTGATCGGAGAGGAGCAAGAGGAGTTGGCGCGAATGCGGCTACACTGCAGTGTAGCGAACACATTGCAGGAAGCTCTCCTCTCAGTTCCTATACACGCTTAAGAGCCGCTATATAGAGGATAACGGACAAGGGCTGCAGTGCAGTGCAGTGATCTGTCTCGCAGTCACTTGCTCCTCCATAACTCTGGAAACCCCAGAAACCCGCTTGCTAGAAGCAATAAACCGTCATATAGTAATGTGCTGCCTTAGCACACCTGCGGCTCTTTCTTACAATAGAGTTCAGAATGCTTGTTGCTGTCCTGCTAAGGGACTTCTAGCCTGCTCTTTCCGCCAGTCATCTGCTTTCTCCCTTTATTTCTACCGTAGGTTCAGCAGAGAGTGAGCCTGCTGTCTTATAATCTGCCATTGTGGCCAGAAATAAAAGTTGATTCTCCTACCTTGCGGTAATACATGTTGCATACCCAATAGTAAATGCCTCATTTAGTCAGCACAGCTAGGAAAATTGAGAAAAGGTGTTCAGACTTCTGAATGCCATACATGTTACTGTTACATCAACTGCATTGTATAGCAATAAATAGAGCGGCACACGTCTGGTCTAGACCTCTCCAATTGCACAGACCAGACACCTCAGAAATGACAGCCAGTCAGGCCACTAGAGAGGGGCAGGCAGGGGACAAGACAACACAGAGCACACCGCCCTTACAATGGCTCCTTCCTCCATCGATGTGCCTGTGGCCGTGACTGTGCATGCTAGGCATGAGTTGGTGGCAGGCACTAGTCCGGCGCTCCTCCCACCAGCCTGATAGAACAGTGCACTGCCAGCAACACAACCGGGCGGCCATAGGCCCATAACCCACTCCACTCCTCCTGGGCAGCCTCCACACACGCACACGCCCATCTTCTCTCTTGATATTGCCCCCCAGGATTTTCGATCTACCACGCAAGCGGTGCTGTGGTTTCGGAATAAAGTTCCGGGTGCAAGTTAGCCTGTGGCAGCGGAAGCAGCAGCAGAGGAGGCAGAGGCGGGATGGCGGCCCCCACTGTCCTCCCTCACCACCAGCAGTCGCCCCCTGAAGGGCTTGCCGCTAGTGGCAGCCAGCTGGGGAAATGGAAAGGGGGGTGGGCAGGGAGAGGAAGAGATGAGGCGAGAGGAGGCGAGGGGGGGAGAGGGGGGAGAGGGGGTGAGAGGAGAGAGGAGGCGAGGGGGGGAGAGGTGGGGAGAGGAGGAGAGAGGGGGAGAGGGGGTGAGAGGGGACAGAGAAGGAGAGAGGGAGAGAGAGGGGGAGAGAGGGAGAGAAAGGGGGAGAGAGGAAGAGAGAGGGGGAGAGAGGAAGAGAGAGGGGGAGAGAGGAAGAGAGAGGGGGAGAGAGGAAGAGAGAGGGGGAGAGAGGAAGAGGGGGGTGAAGGGATTATTGAAGCATGGAGATGGAAGGGAATGGAACAAAGCAGGGGAGTGGTCTGATTTGATACCTGTCAAAAGACGGTGGAAATGGCTTAAGACAAGTGGACGCCGAAGAGGAGAGGGAGGTGAGGGAGAAAGGAGGAGTGGAGTTGGGTTTCACAGCTAAGTGTGTGTGAGTTGGGGGGGGGGGGGGGGGGGGGAGGGTGGGGTGGTAGTAAGCTCACCGCTCTAGCTGCTTCTGCAGCACTGGAGAAGTGAATGCACGCCTTGCCCTGCCACACAAGGAGAGAGGGAGAGAGAGGAAAAGGGGGTAAGGAGGGGAAGCAAGTGAGGGGAACAGCTGGTTGAAAGGGGCCAAGTGAAGGGAGAGCAGCGAAGTATATTTTTGAGGCGCCTCAAAAATAGGCCAAGTGAAGGGAAAGCAGCGGGCAAGGATGCTGCAGAGACCATATGGTGAAAAAAAGGAAGGAGGGGAAGAAGAGGTGAGCAGATGATAGTAGAAAATACATTGGGAGAGGGCTGGTGAGTGAGCGATGACAAGATCGGAAAGACAGCAAGCAAGCACGCAGCAGGGCCGCGCGCAGCAGGGCTGCACACAGCAGAGCCGCACGCAGCAGGGCCGCACGCAGCAGGGCCGCACGCAGCAGGGCCGCACGCAGCAGGGCCGCACGCAGCAGGGCCGCACACAGCAGGGCCGCACGCAGCAGGGCCGCACACAGCAGGGGCGCACACAGCAGGGGCATGCTCATCCCTCCTTGTCCGACCACCACGGATCCGTCCAATAAACGCCACCCATCTCCAGAACATCCCATTTGTGTTCCCAACCAACACCCACCCCTGCTCCGAAGCCCTAAACCTCCCTATGAAGACCCCCTCGTCTCGTCGCCAACTCTTCCCAAAACGGGTGGTCGGCAGCGGGTAGCGCCACGCATGGGGCAGTAGCGCAGTGGCGGGGCGAGGCACGTTCTTACCCTGGAGCGGCCCTTGTCGTCGCGAAGCATGTCCACTCCCAGCACGGCGCCATGCACCATGAAGTACTCCGTCAGGTCCTGCGGGCACGGCAGGGGGATAGGGGTGTGGTGGGCGGGCGGGATGAAACACCTTAAGTATTCTGTCAGGTCCTGGGGGCAAGGCACGGAGAGAGAATCGTGGTAGAGGGGGGGGACCAGGTCCTGGGGGCACGGCAGGGGGATAGATGTGTGGGGGACGTAGGTAGGAAGGAAGGGAGGACGGAGGAGAGGGGGCCGAGTGAGCCGAGTTTCCACACATACACACACACCCACCCATGCATACCAACCCACACACACAACCCACACACACCAACCCACACACACCAACCCACACATACCAACCCACACACACCAACCCACACATACCACCCATCCACTAAGTTGGTTCCTTACGTTACGTTTACGTACGTGTACGTTTACGTTCACGTACGTTTACGCGATTCTAGTTTTAGGCCTGTATGTACGGGCAAGCTAAAAATTTTCTACCTGCCCAGAAAAAAGAAGAAGAGGGAACCCTAGGCAGATTTTTGTACAGACTTCCATTGGCCATTAAATATTTTAGTAGGTAGATAGAAAACATCCACAAAATACAAAGTTCCCAACAGGTGCTACGCTTATAACATGCAAATTGACAATCTGTTGACTGGTTGGAGAAATTATCGCGTGCACGAAATCGCGTCTCCGCTGCTTGACGTGCCGGCAATCCAACCAGTCGACGGATTTGTGCGCGTCAAATGTGACGTGCTGGTTCCCCAACCCTCCTCGACATTCAATTCCCCTTCCCTCCTCGACGAATGTCAGTCGCTACCCTATCTCCAGTAGCAACTCAGTTAAGTCTAAGTCGCATCCTAGGACTATTAGCGCGCCTTCGACCAGCGTCTACGTGCGCCATAGTTCATGACGGGGTAGATCTGCGCGAACCGTGGGCAGCGATAATCTAGGCGTAGTTGCAGATCGCGTGGATGTAGAACGCGGTTTTCGGAGGGAAAAAAATTGCCCGGAAAAAATTTCAGGGCCTGCCCGGCGACGTAAACGTAACGTACGCGTAACGTAACGTAAATGTAACGTTACGCGTACTGTACGTTTACGTCACCTAAAGTGACGTAAAGTACCAACTTAGCCCATCCACCCTCCCGGCGCGACGGCACCGACGACGCTGTAGTGCAGGTTGCTTCTGAAGAGCTTTTGACTCGACTCAAAACATGCCGTGTGACATTGTAACGAGGTGACTTTTGACTCGTCTCAAAATGTGTTGTGTGCATTGTAACTAGGTGACTTATTTATTCAACTCAAAACGTTTTGTGTGCATCGTAAAGAGGCGACTTTTTGACTCCACTCAAAACGTGTTGGGTGCATTGTAACGAAGCGACTTTCCGACTCGACTAAAAAGTCGATTCCCAGCCAAGGCGACGGCGATGAGGCACCCACCCACCCACCTGCACTGTGACGCTGTAGTGCAGGTTGCTGATGAAGAGCGATGGTCCTGCCACTGCTGCTGCCTGCTGCTGCTGCTGCTGCCCCACCATGGCTGCGGGCCCACCCATCTGGCCTCCCAACCCTCCCAGACTCCCCAGGCTTCCCAGGCTTCCAAGGCTTCCCATACTTTCTATGCCACTCATGCCACCCATACCCATGCCGCCCATACTGCCCATATTGCCAATGCTGCCCATCCCACCCATACTACCCATGCCACCCATACCACCCATACCGCCCATACCGCCCATACCGCCCATACCACCCAAACCACCCATGCCCATTCCCATCCCCATGCCCATGCCCATACCCATGCCCATCCCAAGGCTCCCATCCCCCATCATGTTCCCTATGCCCGGAAACAAGGACATATCGAGCCCGGGAACAGGAGGGTAGCCTCCCAATGCAGCCATAGCCGCTGCTGGGTTGAGCATGGGATTGAAAGCGAGAGGCAGAGGCAGCGAGGAGAAGGGGGAGGAGAGAGGGTTGGAGGAGAGTGGGAGTGACAGGCCCGGGTTGGGTAGGGGGTTTTGGAGGGACTGGGCTTGGAGCAATAGCTGTTGCAGCTCCTGCTGCTGCTGAAATAGCATCTGCTGCTGCTGTTGCTGCTGCTGTTGCTGTTGTTGCTCCTGCTGCTGTTGCTGCTGATGCTGCTGCTGCTGTTGTTGCTGCAGCTGCTTCTGCTGGTTTTTCTCCAAAATCTCCTCTAGCGGACTCGCGTTCTGCTCCTTTGTTTCGCCCTTATCCCTAGAGCCCTTGATCTCAATCCCATGCCCTGCCACCTGCCCATGCCTCGGTCCACTGCCTGAACCATCTCCTGAACCACGCTCAGCCCCCTCCTCTTCCTCACTCTTCTCCTCTCCACCCTCCACCACCCCCGCCTCATCCCTCTTCCCTTGCTGCTCCTCCTCCTCCTCTTCCTGCTCCAGTTCCCCCTCCTCCTTCTCCTTCGCCTTCTCCCCCCCCGCCCCCTCCTCGTCACCCTCCAGCTGCTGTTGCTGCTGCTGTGATAGGAACTGCTGCTGCTGCTGCTGCTGCTGCTGCAGGGTGTGCTGCTGCTGGTGCATCTGCAGTTGGGCCATCTGCGCCTGTAGCTGCATGGCTTGAGCTGCCAGCTGCAGCTGCTGCATACTCGCCATGGGCGCGCCCAAGGGGGACACTCCGCCGCCTAGGGCCGAGGGGTCTAGGAACGCTGTTTGCATGGTTGCGGAAGGGGAGGGAGGGGAGGGAACGAGGGTTGGGGTGGGGGGAGGGAGGGGAGGGAGGGGAGGGAGAGATGGGGAGACGCAGAAAAAACGAGGGAGAGAGGGATTGCGAGATGGGGAAGGTGAGAGGGGGAGATATGTTAGAAGACGGGGAGGTGGGGAGGGAGGGACACGTGCCAAACCCTGAGCGCCCCAGAACCGGCTCCAAGTCACACACACCAGCCAGACACGCCCATTGCAGCATGCATGCACCACGACCCCTCCCTCACCTCCAAACGAGCCAGGCATGCCCATAGCAGCAGCTGCAGCCGCTGCTGCTGCGGCAGGGGAGGAGTAGAAGGAGGAGGCATCCGCTCCAGCAGAAGCTGCAGAGATGGCGAAGGAGTTTGAGGGCGAGTCTTGCCGGAGGAAAGAGCGGCCCTGGGATAGACTGCACAGCCAGAGAGGGGAGGGGGGGGGGAGGGGAGGAAGGCAAGATAGCGAATGGGATGATGCAGGAATGGGAAAAGGTTAGTTTCTGAGGAGAGGCAGCAGGAGCAGCAGGAGCAGCAGAAGCAGCAGGAGCAGCAGGAGCAGCAGGAGCAGCAGGAGAGCAGCAGGAGCAGCAAGAACAGCAGGCAGAGCAGGAGAGCAGGAAAGCAGCTACGTTGGAGAAAACGCTCGAATGGCCAAGCGTTCGAGCGCAAACGCCCAAACGCTAGGCAAACGCGCAAACGCAAGAGCGGGCTGCCCGCAAAAAAATATATCAAAATTCCGAAATTTTGAAACCAGTTTGCGACGTGCTGGGGAGGAAGAGGTGGCAGGGGTGGCAGGGGAGGCTGGTGTTAGGGTAGCTGCAGCATGGTGTGGGGGGCATGAATTGTAGTACTCGCGGCGGCTGATTGTAGGGAAGATGCATCCTGGTTGTGTTGCATGGGAGAGGGGGTAGGTGAGTGTGATGTGATGGATGGATGTTAGGTTGACTTGTGAATGTACCCTGAAACTTTTAATATTTTATTAATGGGGGTGGTGGACGAAGGTGCCCTTCATGCCCTTCCTTTCCTTTCCCCTTCCCCCCCCCCAGAAGCCCTTTTTTTTGCCCTGCCCGAAAATTTTTAACCCTGCCCGGGCCAGCGTTTTCCTAGCGTTTGCTCCCCTCCTGGCCAAGCGTTTTGCGTTTAAAAGCTAGCGTTTAAACGCTAGCGTTTAAAACGCCAAACGCGTTTATTCCAACGTAGGAAAGCAGCAATAGCAGCAGGTGCAGAGGCAAGAGCCATGCGGGGAGCCATATGGGGAGGGAGAGCACATCGGACGGACCTGGGGGAGTAAGGCGAGGAGGCGGAGGAGAGTTGGTGCTGCAGCAGCGGCTGCTGCTGGTACTGGCTCTGGTGATAGCCGTGCTGCAGGTGCTGCTGGGCGTGCGTGGCGGGAGGGGCCTTGGGTGCTGGTGGCTTCACGTGAACCCTCACCCCGGAAATGACCTGCTCCTTCACCTGCAACAGCAGCAGCAAGACGTCATGGGGTCGCGTTGCAAGAAGGGGAGATGATTCTTCAGAATACTCAACTCAACTCAACTATCAGTTGCTGCAAATCCGCAAAGGCACTTGCAGCAAGAGCAGGGGAGCATGGCATGGCATGGCATGGCATGGCATGGCATGGCATGGCATGGCATGGCATGGCATGGCATGGCACTGATCTGATGACTAACATCTGATGACAAAGGCGGGCGCACCGCACCTGCATGGCGGCCCTGGCAGCGTCCTCGGTCTGGAAGGTGACAAACGCGAAGCCCCTGCTGGGCTGTGGGTGGAACAGGTCCGCCACTGGCCCGTACCTGACACCCACACACAGGTGCGGGGAGTGGGGTTGTGGGGGTGTGGGGGTGTGGGGGTGGGGTGTAACTTGTAAGCAAGCAGAGGGGTGGATGGAGTGAAGGGGGGACGCGGGGGGTGAGTACCATTTGAACAGGTGAACGGAGCCGTTGACAGGCACAACAGCGATTGGCAAAGAACGATTCTGGGGCTTTGAAAATGGCAGGATTCCGCGTGTCGGCCAAAGGCCAAAGGCAGGTGCCTGGCAGGCGAGCACTTGAGAAAGTAGGAGCGCAAGGAAAGGCAAGGAGCGCATGTTTCTAGGGTACTTGAGAAAGTAGGAGCGCATTTCGTCGGCGGAGAGGGCGTCTGGAGAGCCAAGGATCCCCACAAACACCTTTCTCCTCTGCTCCGCATCTCTCAGCGACCCTCCCCTCTGCTGCTGCTGCTGGGCCTGCTGGTGCCATCTATGACCATCTGCTGCCAGTGCGTTTTCTGAGAGAGCAGGGAGATAGGCGGCTGCAGAGGCAGACGGAAAGGAGGAGTCGCCATGAGAGGCGTTGGATGAGAGGGAGAGGACGCTTGAGGAGGCGGAGGAAGTGGAGGAGGAGGATGGGGGAGGAGCGGAGGAGAGAGAGGAGTGGGAGGAGGAGGAGGAGGCGGAGGGGGGTGGGGAGGCGGTTGAGAGGAGGGCATTGGAGGAGTAAGGTGGTTGCAATGGCGGCTGCTGGTGCTGGGGTTGGGGTTGGAAGTCACGTGGCGGTCGTATTTGCACCTGGGATTTGACGGACGCAGAGTGGAGGAGAGTGGGTGGGGAGAGTGTGGGAGGTTTTAACAGGTATGTGATAAAAACTGGGACTTCTCTCTGTGTGTGCGCATGTGTGTGTGTGTGTGAGAAAGAAACTGACCGAGAGAGGAGCCGAGAGTGAGAGAAGAGAGAACACTGCAGAGAGTGCGAGTGAGAGAGAGAGAGAGAGAGAGAGAGAGAGAGAGAGAGAGAGAGAGAGAGAGAGAGAGAGAGAGAGAGAGAGAGAGAGAGAGAGAGAGAGAGTGAGAGTGAGAGAGAGACCTGTCTGTTGTCAATGATGTGGTCCTGGCAGAGCACCCGCGCTATGGCCTCTGGATCACTGCACGTGGTGGGGGGGGGACATGACACCGGCAAGTGAGCAAGAGGTGTGGGGGCGAAAGACACAGCAGAGGGAGTAACAGGGGGACAGTCACAGGGGGACAGTCACAGGGGGGCAGTCACAGGGGGACAGTCACAGGGGGACAGTCACAGGGGGACAGTCACAGGGGGACAGTCACAGGGGGGCAGTCACAGGGGGACAGTCACAGGGGGACAGTCACAGGGGGACAGTCACAGGGGGACAGTCACAGGGGGACAGTCACAGGGGGACAGTCACAGGGGGACAGTCACAGGGGGACAGTCACAGGGGGACAGTCACAGGGGGACAGTCACAGGGGGGACAGTCACAGGGGGACAGTCACAGGGGGGCAGTCACAGGGGACAGTCACAGGGGGACAGTCACAGGGGGACAGTCACAGGGGGACAGTCACAGGGGGACAGTCACAGGGGGGACAGTCACAGGGGGACAGTCACAGGGGGACAGTCACAGGGGGACAGTCACAGGGGGACAGTCACAGGGGGACAGTCACAGGGGGACAGTCACAGGGGGACAGTCACAGGGGGACAGTCACAGGGGGACAGTCACAGGGGGACAGTCACAGGGGGACAGTCACAGGGGGACAGTCACAGGGGGCAGTCACAGGGGGACAGTCACAGGGGGACAGTCACAGGGGGACAGTCACAGGGGGACAGTCACAGGGGGACAGTCACAGGGGGACAGTCACAGGGGGACAGTCACAGGGGGACAGTCACAGGGGGACAGTCACAGGGGACAGTCACAGGGGGACAGTCACAGGGGGACAGTCACAGGGGGACAGTCACAGGGGGACAGTCACAGGGGGACAGTCACAGGGGGACAGTCACAGGGGGACAGTCACAGGGGGGCAGTCACAGGGGGACAGTCACAGGGGGACAGTCACAGGGGGACAGTCACAGGGGGACAGTCACAGGGGGACAGTCACAGGGGGGCAGTCACAGGGGGACAGTCACAGGGGGACAGTCACAGGGGGACAGTCACAGGGGGACAGTCACAGGGGACAGTCACAGGGGGACAGTCACAGGGGGACAGTCACAGGGGGACAGTCACAGGGGGACAGTCACAGGGGGACAGTCACAGGGGGGCAGTCACAGGGGGGCAGTCACAGGGGGGCAGTCACAGGGGGGCAGTCACAGGGGGACAGGGGTGCAAGCTACCCTCAGGTGAGTACCACCCCCAGGTAAGTGCTACCCCAAGGTGAGTGCCAACCCCAGGTGAGTACCACGCGCAGGTAAGTGCTAACCCAAGGTGCGTGACGACTGTGGTACCTGGGGTCTATTGTTGAGGCGCCTAAAAAATAGACTCCTCACGCGTCGACCTGTTCTTTCTGAAGAGCTAGAGATGCAGCCGTTTGGGCAGTGAAGGGTTTATTGTTGAGGCGCCTAAAAAATAGACTCCTCACACGTGACGACTGTGGTACCTGAAGTTGACAAAGCCGTAGCCTCTGGAGCGGCCACTGGGTTCCGTGATGACAGAGCACAGGGACACCTGGAGCAAACGAGATCGGGGGAAGGAGAGGCATGAATGAGAGAGCGATAGCAAGAGAGATTAGCTGTCAGTGCCACATGCCAATGAGCGAAGCTATACTACACGACACGATACGATACGACACGATGCGATGCGATGCGATGTGATGCGATGCGATACTGCCGTTCATCAGGCAGTGCCCCCATCACCCCCTGCATCCGTCGTGTCCACCCTAACCTCCCTCCCACCGTCGTCCATCCCCTCTTCAGGAAGTTCCCAGACGTTCACGATGCACCCTTGCGTGAGGAGTCTATTTTTGAGGCGTCTCAAAAATAAACTCCTCACGTTTGGGAAGTTCCCAGACGTTCACGATGCACCCTTGCTACCCACCCCCCTCCCCACTCCCCCCCATTCTGTTTCCCAACCCCCCTCTTCTCGTCTCCTCTTCCCCGCTCCTCCCCTTTGCCCCCCACCTCCCCTCACTTCCCCCACCTCCCCCCCTCACCTCGCCAAACTGGGAGAAGTAGTGGCGCAGGCTCTCAGAGGACGTGCCCCAGGACAGCCCCCGGATGTAGAGGTCGCCCACTGGCCCCGCTGCTGCTGGCTTTTGGCCCGCCTCAAACGGCACTGGCGCCGCTGCCATTGGAGCAGGTGGTGCCGGCACAAACTCAGAGACAGACGCAGCAGCAGCAGCAGCCGCCGCAGCAGCAGCAGATGTTGCTGCTGGAGCGGCAGCTAAGGCCGCAACAGTGGGAGGAGGAGGGGAAGAAGTGGCAGAAGGAGCGGCGGCAGGAGTGGAAGCAACAGGGAAGCTAGCGGTGGGAGAAGGTAGAAATGCAGCAGCAGCGAAGCCGGCAGTAATGCGGGAAGCAGCATTGCTACTACCTGTCACATTGCTGCTACTGGCGCTAGCAACAGAACCGATGCCGATGCTGTTAGCACTACTATGTGCTTCTACAACCTCCTCCCTCCCTCCCGCTCCTCTCCCTCCCTCCTCTCTCCCTCCCTCCACAGCCCCGTTCGGGACCCTGGGCTGCACTGCTGGCTGCAGTACCTGCGGTACTACAGGTTCGGTCAAAGGCCCGTTCAGTGTTCCTCCTACTCCTCCTCCCCCAACGCCTTCGCTTTCTCTCTCGACCTTACTTGCCGCCCACGGCCCTCTCTCCTCCCTGCCTACGTGGCATTCCCTGCCTGCAGAGTCAGCGTGCGGCTCTCGACCAACAACAGGCCATGCTGTCAGCGCCGGGAGGGGGGGGGGGGGGTTTGAGGGGGTGAGTAGGGATGGGGTATTGGAGAATAGTGGCAAGAGAAAGGGGGGGAAACTAGAGGGAGAGGGCAGGGGGGATGGGGACGGGGATGGGGACGGGGATGGGAGAGGGAGAGGGATGGGAGAGGGAGAGGGATGGGAGAGAGGGAGGAGTCAGGGAACGAACGCACTGAGAAGCGAGGAACATTTAGATCCTCTTTGTGACTCTTTGTAACCTTGTGTTTGTGTTCTGAACCTTCCGCCCAAGCCCAAGCACACTCACAAGCGGCTGTTCCTCTCTAGTTTCACCCTAAACTCTTCACATTTCTTCCCATTGATTATGTTTTGTTGTACCAGAGTCGCAAACAACACACCGAGTCACCTATGCCACACCACATACCTGACCCTGAGCCGTCTAATGCCGCATACGCGCCCAAGCCAGCCTTTGCTCCTCCTCCCTCTCCACCCAATCTTACCAACCCCCCACCTCTCCCTCCTCCCTCTTCACTTGCTCCACCTCCCCCTCCTCCCCCTGCCAGACTCGGCCCTTCACCCTTTACTAGCACGCTCGATCCGGGCACACTCGTGGCTGACCGAGAGGGATCGGCACTGATACTAGCGCCTGTGCCGCCAGCGGCCGTGCTGCTAACGGTGTTGGAGGTTCTCGCATTGCTGTCAGCAGTGGCGCATGCAGCAACGGAAGCATCAGGCGCCGCCGCTGCTGCTGCTGCTGCTGCTGCTGTTGCTGCCGTGGCTGCCGTTCCGGCAGCAGCAGCATCTGCTGCTCCTCCTGCTCCTGTTGCGGAACCAGCAGCAACGTGTGCCGTGTGTGCTTCCGGGGAGTCTGAGTCCGAGGCACCACATTTTGGCTGTGCTCTCAGCGTTGCTGCCATCACCACATCCACCCCTCTCACCACCCCACTCCATGCCCTCACCTCCGCTTCCCTCCGCACTCCCCCGCTCCCACATCTACCCGCTGCTCCTGCTGCTTGCACTGCTGCGCCTGCTGACGCTGCTGATGCAACTGATGCTGCTCTTGGTGCAGCTGTTGCTGCTCCTGCTGCTGCGGCTGCTGGTGGTACTGTTGCAGCACTAGGAACAGCAGCAGCGGCGGCAGCAGCTGAGGGGGGAGGATACCCATTGGGCAGCTGCTGGCCCATGGGCTCCATCACACGCGAAGGGGGGATCGCAGGGGGATCGCAGGGGGATTGCTAATTGCCGGCGGGTGACAATGCGTGCGAAAATCAGTATGAAAATTTGTGCACGATCCAGCGACGGAGGGGTGAGTGAGATCAGCAGCGCGTTAGTAATCAACTCCGGCTCGTCGTATCAAGATCACGAGCACGACCATCAGCAGCCGCCGATCGCGGAGACTGTATCGTGCGCCGTGCACCAAGCGCGCCGTCTGTTATCTGCATTGGGTGGGATCACGCAATGGGGAAAAGAGAAGCGGAAAAGCGGAAAAGCGGAGAGGCGGAGAGGCAGAGAGGCGGAGAAGCGGAGAAAAGAAGGGGAGGAGAAGAGACGGGTTGATGGGAAAGCGGGGATGGACAGACGACAGTACGGACAGCGAGAGATGATCGGAAAGGGTAAGAGCGGCGGGGAAACGATACAATGTGTGGGGAAACGATGGGGATTTTCCGCACGGGGGGGTTGGGTGCGTGTAAGCGGTGTGGTGGATGGAGGTACGGAGGACGACGGGCTGGGGTGGAGTCTTGGTGTCTCCGCGGAGGTCTTGATGCGGGGTGCGGGGCCCTTATAACTACGGGATGGAGAGAGCCGCCTCGGAGAAGGACCCATACCCTAACGACGATCCGCGTTAGATGGCGGACGCGCCTTGGACTTACGACGAGCCTAACTCTCGAACACGAAATTGGGAACCCTAATGTCGCCAGATCGCATGCTACCGCTTGCTTCAGGACGAAACGCGCGTGTTAAGCATGTTGCATCAGAGATATCCCAGCATACGGGACGCGACGCGATATGTAAGATGAAAAAACAACAACAACAAAAAACAAAAAACAAAAATAACCTCTTCCCGGCACTGGCCCAGGCCGGGTGACGTGCGGACGTTATGAGAAAAGATCGAGACTGCGAAGACAAAGACTGCTCTCTATAATGTGGAGGGAAATGGATTTGACGAGCAGACCTGGTATTAGGGTTGGTGACGCGGATCCTAGAGACGGCTTGGTGCAATTGCACGGGGTGGAGATCAAGGATGCCGCTGCCCAGTGCAGTAGATGATCCGATATATTCGCGTATAATGGCGCTGTAACCAGCGTCAATAAGGGAGCCGTGATTGGCGGATTGGCGGCTTTGCGATTTTTGGATTGCAGCGGGACTTCCTAGATCACACGCATTTCCGGGTCTTGCGGACTACGGAGCACCCGCCTTCACTACACAGCAGAGATACGGCACGGCGATGCCTTGCCTAAGAACGGGAGGTAGTAACCATACTGCTGTTATGGCGGGGGGCCGTTTGTTTGTGACTCCATGGCCGGATATGCCACAGTCCAGCGACAAAGGCGGCAATCAACCGACTACAGAGGCATTGAACAGGCTCGACCAGTGGCCGCAGGTGTAGACGGGTTGCGCGTCATGACTTAGAAGCAGCAGAGGGGCGTGCAAGTGCAACCCAGCTTCCTCTCCATCCACCCACCACAAGCAGATTGCCCTGTTCGTAAATCAACCGCCATTAGCTCCGCCCTTCCATCCTATCCTACTGGTTCTACCATGAGGTTGAGTGCTTGGCAAGAAGCGAATGGTTGAACAGGTGCTGCTACCGCGAGGTATGGCAAAGTTTTTGGTTGAAAATAACGTTCCACTATATTGGGTTTCTAGCCAGAGTTATAAACCACATCACTCCCTTCCACCCGCATATTCTGAAACTGAGAGATTTAGTTAAATCTTAGAACTTTGTGCGCGTTGTGTACAATATGGAAGTGTGTACAGTCTCTGATTTACGAGGGGAAATTTGACCAAGGTACAGATTGTAGCCAAATCAGAAATGCTTCGGAAATGCTTACTCGCACTCTCCAAAACCTGGAGTGCTGTTATCGGGGGGACAAATGGGGCTTTGGTGGGGTGGTTGCCTAGTCGATATCTCTCGGTTTGTTTGTGGGTGTAGTTGCTTTGCCTTTCTCAACACATCCTCGCCGCTGTACGTACCTGTCCCACCAACTCGGGTTCTTCTGATTGCAGGAGCACGAAAGATCAAGTGCGCACCTGACTTCTGTTACAGAACCGCAGGGAACGGAGAGCTCCATAGCTGCGCTGCGGCTTGGCTGGCCAGCGACACGAGTTGTTGGGCATTGGGCAAGCGGCAGTTCGCTTTGGAGCCAGCACATATTTCCAGTTTACGCACCCTATATGATGCTCGCTAACAGGTAGTGTGATTCTGATTCAGCAAGCTTCTATTCTAGCTGACTAGATTTCTTGGAATATAATTATGACTGAGAACCATGATGAGGTTATGGCAACGTGACCACCCCCACTATGGCTGACGCAATGCATCCTCAAAGATGCAAACACAGTCTCTTTGAGCCGTGGATAGCATATCACGACGCTGACAAAATTAACTAGTGCAAAATATTATAATTTTTAACACACGTAGTGTTTTTCAAAAATTGTGTATTGTGAAAGCGAAGCTGATTGTACTGAAGCGTTGGGCATCGTCGAAGCGCGCTACTCGCCCTTCTCCAACTACATATACGTGGGTTGGAGCTCATTTACCTCCACCCACGTCTCTCATTTTTCAAACGGCTCAGTCAACCTTCCCGCTCTAGCTTTTCTCCCGTTCAAGCTGGCTAAGACTAGAACTTTGCCTCGCGGCGAGTCTCCCTCGACTCTTCTCTCCGACATTTTTAAGTTTCACCGATCCGTCATGGCTCCGACTACGAATAATCGCGGCGAGTCCAACGTCGTCACCGGCCACCCCAATTCCGAGTCTACTCGCCAAGCCCCGGAAATTGCGGGCGACCGGCGCAACAAGCGCCGGGCAGAAGAAGGGGCAACCGCCCCAACTGGGGTTGACGTTCTGCTGGGAGGGGGCGAGGTCAACAGTCAGCTTGCTGACGCGCCCCCGCCCCCTTCTGAGCCACACGCGCAAGTGGCTGGGCAGAGCCAGCCACTCGCGCCTGACGCCGAGCAGCAGCACGCGCCAGCCCCGCAAGTGGCGGGCCCCTCTCGCCAGCGCAAAAGGGGGCGCGCGGCTGCCTCGTCTGACGTGCCGCCCACCCCGACATTGACCCCGACGTTGACCCCTGCGCAGGTCAACGCGCTGTTGACGCTGTTACAGCAGCAGGCGACGAGTGTTACGGCCGCCGAAACTGCTCAACCTGCTGCTTCTGAATCTGCTAAAAAAGAACCCGCAAAAACAGAAAAGGCCACACGCGGAACCAAGACGCCACGCCTCGCTAAGGACGCCATCGCCAGCATCCCGCCTGCCCCGGCGGCCGACAACGACAGCGACGACTCCGACAATGACGCTGGTGAGGTCCCCGGCACTGCTGCAAATTCAATTCCCATGGAGCATCTCCCACCACTCCCGACCACTCACACCACCCTCTCGGCGGCGTCTTTCCTCAACGCGGCCGTACGCGAGCAAGCGGAAGCCCTGGAGGACCTTCGGGCATACCTGAAGCACGCCGAGTTCAAGGTGCAGCACGGCGACGCGCCGGGCGGCCTCGAATTCCTCGCTGACGCACTCGCCCTCATATCACGACGCTTCGAAGTTCTCCAAGTCGAAGACGCCTCCGACTTCCGCACGGCCAAGCGTTTCAAGTTGTACCAGCAGAAGAGTTTGCTTACCTCAAGGCCTTTCAAGCAGGCCGTCGCTGACGTGGCCGCAATGGACCGCGCCGAGGGCGGATTTGCTCGTGGAAATCGCGGAGGCGGCCGCATGCCCACGCCGTTCGTGCCAAAGCGTGGTCCGCCGCCTACGGGAGAATTCCGTGGCTTCCGAGGCACTTGCTTCCGCTGTGGCCAGCCGGGGCATGTGGCCAGCGGCTGCCCGGCAATTGGGCATGGTGGCCAAGGACCCGCACCAGTGGTGTAGGGGTCGGGCCATGGGCGCTTGCGCAAGTGGCGCAAGGCGCAAGGCACCCGGTGTGTGCGTAGGCCATTGGGCCCACCCCTTAGGGGCACGGGTGGCAGAGGGCCAGCCCTAGTGTAGGCCAATTGAAGGCCCTAGGATCAGAGCAAGGGAAGGGGAACATGCCCCCTCGGTCCCAAATGATAGCCCGACCTTGCAAGGCGGACTTTGCATGCCTAGGAGCATGTTGAGTAGAGATAAAGCTTGGTTAAAATAAGGAGCCACGGTCCTTCATTTTTTTTTCAGGTCTTGGTCCCCTAATATAACCAGAGAAAAGGGGGAGCAGCACCACAAGAGGCGCAGCAAAAAAAAAAAAAAAAAAAAAAAAAAAAGGTGGGGGGGGGGATTGAGCACGGAACGGGGAAGCATAGTGGGTGGCTCAACCCCCGCTGCATGTCACGCAGCACCCCCGGCCGGAGAAGGAAGGCCATCAGGAACACCAATGGCCCGCCACTTACCCACACAGCGTTGCTCCTCGATTGGACATGCAAAAAAAAAAAAAAAAAAAAAAAAACAGAATTCAAGCATTATGCGAGCCTTCACAAGGCTCCTACCCTCCAACCCGGTGGGCTACACCCTGGACCCTAAGCATTACCCCCCCGTGGGCATACAGGAACAGCCACACCAGCCTCATCTAGGGCTGCCCAGCTTGGCATTGGAAAAAAAAAAAAAAAAAAAAAAAAAAAAAAAAAAAAAAACGAGTCACATAAGCATGCGCGCACGCACGCGGTATGGCCCACGAACGGGAACAGCAACACAACACCGCACGCATGCCACACATGCACACAAGAGGTGGCTAGAAGAAAGACAAAAAAAAAAACAAAAAAAAAACACGGGCGTTGAGTCTCAAAACCCACGAAATGATAGCGCAAGCGAAGGCGGCAATAAGAGGGTAACATGCGTTCGCAAGTAGAAGCGCGGGTGAAGGCACAAGTTGTGGGAATACGAGGGCACCAAGGGAAGCAAACGTCGGGGCTCAGGTTCGAACGCAAGCTCGGCATGCGTAGGCGTGCAAACCGACACACACGCAGGTCACGCCGCTCAGACCCGCTCAAAGCGCAGGCACCCACCGACCTAAGCATCTTGCTCGCATGGGGCACCTCAACCCGGCACGCCCTCCTCAGCCACTAGGCTTCACACTCCCCCCCCCCCCACGCTCTAGGTTTCCGGTAGGCATCAGCCCTGCAGATGAACTCAAGTATTCGTCCCTTGCGTCTCCTTGCATGATGGCACTCCCACAGGCACCAGACTTCGCGAATGTGCACACAACAGTGACCCCTACGAATACGCGGTTACTGACAAGATGGTCACCAAAATGCGTGGCCGCCTACGTACCACGTACGCTTGGTGGAGCTCGTGGTGCACTAGCAGTTTCATCCTCTCAGTCATTGCCAAAGGATACTGGATGCCATGGAAACTCGGGCCGCCGCCGGCCTTTCACGATCGCAACCATGCCGGCGCACGCATCCACGAAGCATTCACGCGCACGGCCATCCTTGAACTCACCGAGACCGGCGCGGCCATCCAAATTCCTGCGGCGAAACTGAGATGCATAAGCCCACTCAACGTGGTCGAGCAGAAAGACAAGTGTCGCATGATTCTGGATCTCCGAAAGGTGAACGACGCAATAATCGTCCCCAAATTTAAATATGAGGGACTCAACCGCGTAGCGGACCTCGCCCGCCAAGGAGATTGGATGTTCTCCATCGACTTGAAATCAGGCTACCACCATGTCGACATCCACCCCTCGTGCTGGACGTTCCTCGGCTTTGAATTCGACGGGCGCACATACGCCTTCCGATCCTTGCCGTTCGGCCTCGCCACAGCACCATTCGTCTTCACGCAGCTCATCAAGCAATTAGCTCGGCGATGGCGGGAGCAGGGGGTCCGCGTGATACCCTACGTGGACGATATCCTCTTCCTGTGCTCGACCCAGGCACACGCTCAAGCCACGTGCCAACGGATCGTTATCGATCTCAAGGCTGCCGGGCTCGTACTCAACTCAAAAAAGTCAAAGCTGATACCAACACAGCACCTTCGGTTCCTTGGCGTAGAACTTGACACACAGGCCGGCCGGTTCTCCATCGGCGAGGAGCGGCGAGCCACACTCAACGCCACCCTCCATGCCCTACTGCGCGCAAGCTCAGCTCAGCGGAAAGTCCCAGTCCGGCAACTGGCCCGAGTTACAGGCATGTTGGCATCGATGGCTGTCGCACTCGGCACCGCCACCCGAGCGTTCAGCCACGCCATGCTAGAAACAATCAACGACGCGCCGACATGGACTAGCATGGTCATCCTCTCCCCACCCGCCATCGAAGAGCTGAGATTCTGGACCCAAGAGTTCGACCGTTTCAACGGTGCCCCGTTCCATGTGCGGCACAGCTACGATGCTGTCATCCACGTAGACACAAGTGCCCACAGCTGGGGTGCCACGCTGAACACATTCCCTGGAGCCGCGATAGAGGCCAGCGCGGCAATGCCCGGAGCCCTTCATCCGACCTCCAGCACACAAAGAGAGCTCGCCGGCGTGCTGTGGGCGCTACAGACGTACGCGCCTAGAATACGGAAGAAACACGTGCTCGTGCGGGTGGACAACCAGGGCGTGTTCTTCATCCTTCGCAAAGGAGGTTCCCGAAGTCCCGACCTCACCACCATG